ATATATATATATTCAAGATTTAATACGCGATCTATTAAATTAGACACCAATTCCAATTATTCTAATTAACATGAAATCTTTTCGAATAAAAAACAGGAAGGGAAGAAAAAATAAAAATTCGTTTCAATTGATTACGTTAGTTCGATCAACATTCAAAGTATTTTCGTCTCTCTCTCTCTCTCTCTTTCTTTCTGTCTCTATTTTTTTTTGTCCCTCGAGTTCCTAGTGTGAAGTCCTTTGAATTTGATTTTACTGAAGCTAGTAGTATTGGCCTCCTTCATCAATTTTCATCTAACTCGATTATAATAACTCGATTATAGAGTATTTCAAAGGGTAACTTCGAACTTTCTCTTCACAATATTGCTTCGAGAATTTATTAGTACCTCACGAGAGATATATGTATAGTCAGTCAAGGGTTCCAATGCTTGAGAGAAATATCAACTATAAATAAACATACATACATATACGTGGGTACATATTTTTTAACAAAATGGAATTTCGTCGAATTTTTCTAGTTTTTTTTTTTTTTTTTTTATGTTTTTTTTTCCCTCCCAACAAATTCAATCATTCAATGTCCTATCGATTCGTTGCATGTCACGCACGAATAATGACGCATGAATATATATATATTCAATGTGCGTGGCTAGAAAGATGGCATACCGATTACGTTCTCGATGAGTCATATTCATTCGCACGTGCAATTTGCGTTTATTTTTTGGATTTTTTTTTTTTTTTTTCTTTTTTCCCTCGAGTTATATGCGTGTATGTATATTTCTTTGACTGGGATGCATCGTGCATTCAACGTTATATGGCTTACGTGTTACGTCATCGACTTTACTTTGCACTCGCTCCGGCAAGCATAAATGTATCACTGCAGCAGCATATACAGTATATAAAGTATCTATACTATACTATAGCATGTATACTATATATGTATTATACAATGTTAGCATACTTTGGTACTAGTATATTACAGTGATAATGTTGCTTACTACGATGTTAGAATACTACAGGACTAGGATACTACAGTAATATTGTAGTATACTAGAATGTTAGTTATTACAGTCTAGTATACTTAAGGGTTAACATATTACAGTGTTTGATATTATAGTACTGTAATATAATGTTAGTTAGTATAGTATTGACTATTATAAGTATTGCTATATCATCATTTTAACATACTACAGTATTATAATATACTGCAGTATTACTATAATATATTACGATATTATATTATATAGTGATAGATATATATATATATATACTGTAAATGCAGTAATTCATTTATGTATATATATATACGTGGTAAAGATAAAAGGGTATTTCCAAAAGCGGCTTTACATTTGATTGATTCACGAAGCTTATATAGAGCACTCGAAATCTTAGAAATGTTTTTTTAAGTATTCCTAATTAAACCGAATAGGATAAAATATATCTGATATTAAAACGGTTCTCTTATTTTTGTATTATTCTCGATCGAAGAAATAATTTTATCGGCAAAAGTTCACTGAAAACACGCAGGCAAGCTGCTGTGCTGAAGGTGGGTGGGGGGCTTGTGATTCGAAGAATATTGATTTTGTTTTTTTAAAAAATCACACTTTTAGCATTTCTAAAAAAACTTCTTCCCTTCTTTTTCTCCCGTCTCTTTTAATACTTCATTTAAATTTACTTCTTTCGAGGGATGATGTGGATATAAAAGATATCGGAGAATATTGGAGAATGAGGCAGCCATATTGAATGCAGTGAAATTTTTAAAAATGTCCCACTATTTTTGATGTAACGTTTTCATCTTTGAAAACCTGTGACAGTAATAATAACAGTAGAAAATATATCACAATAGTAATAGTTGATAGTAATAAAATGATTATACAAACTTATCGCGTACGAATACCTGTCTAAGACATCCGCAATAAGTTAAACTCGCACGTGTAAATTATAATATACCTGCTAACTGTCATTGAAATGTTCATATTGGTATAGGATAGATCGATAATATTCACTCTATCTTTCTTCTCTATCTATCTCATGAATAATACAATAATCATTTGTAGAATAAAGAGTAATGATATATGAAGTAAGTGCTTTATTAAGTACATCGCAAATATATGTCGGGGGAAATTAATGGTATCATATAATACTTATTAAAAGTACGTTTATATATCGTATGTACTTTATATTTGATAGGATAACGGTACTTTATTATACTGTTTCCGTTCGTTTCATTTATTTTCTTGTTTATTTTTAAAACGGATTCATTTCTTCGAATCACAATAAATTAAATATTAGCGTGCAACTCTTAGCTAATAGAAATGTCATTTCGTTTGAATATTAATCGCAATATGATTTGTTTCAATTTTTAGAAAAGAGAACAAAAAATACAAATAAACGCGATCTAATTATTATTATTATTATTTTAATTCATACTTGCAAATAACGAGATTATAAACTCCTTCTCTCTCCTCTTATATAATTATTATTTTATATAATACATTTTTCCTACGAATATTTTCGTTAAATGATCTTGAATACCGTAACACGATATGCCAGATGCTTAAACAAGGGAGGAGTTTAACTCGTTCGAAGAGATATCGAATAATAATCGAATATTTTATATTATCAAGTGTCGTCCACTTTTTTTTCTTCATTATTATTTTTTTTTTTTTTCCCCATAACCAACGAGAATTATTTTCTACAATCAATTCACCTCCTCTTCTTATTTATCATTTGTATTTGGTAGGAGAATGATCGAAAAGCGATTAAACTTTTTGTTTTCTTTTTTTTCTATCACTTTACTTCTCTCTCTCTCTCTTTTCTTTTTCCTTTTTCTTTATTTTTCTCTAATAGAAGCTCCGAGTTCGCATTGCTCGTATAAATCGCATTGTTCGTTCGAGCATGAAACTCTCTTCTCCTCTCTCTCTCTCTCTCTCTCTTTCTTTCTTTCTCTCGGCGTCCATATGCCATCAAAATATAAGCCTTACACGCAAGTTATTGGCTTGGAAGTTATCGGTATGTATCAGGTATGCGATACGAGAAAGGAAAGGATCGAGAACTATGGCGGATATATAGTTTGAACGTTCAAATCCCAAGCATTCCAAGCACTCCCGTTCATTTTATATTTTTTGTTCTTTTTTTTTGTTCACCTCTTTTTCTCTCCATTTTATTTTTATATCTATTTTTCGTTTTGTTCCGAAGAGGATTCATTTATCGTTTCTATTAATAGCAACCATTCGCGACAATATTTTGTTCCTTAATTGAATTAGGTATATCTACTTGTTAATTATATTATCAAATTTTTTATATATATATGTGTGTGTGTGTGTGTGTATTGATTTTCAATATATACGATCCAAACTCTTGGAAAATGTTTTTCTTTTTGTATATTTTTTGTTCTTTTAATTACGTGCCCTACATATGTAAATTTGTATTTCTTCTTCGTAATTTAATTTATTACAATAACGAGACGCTTAATGAAATTCTTTAACTTTTTTCTATAGGATTTTTCTAACCTTTGCACAAAAACAGCAAATATATAAAAACGATACATTAATCTAATGTTTATTTTTTAAAATAATTATTATAATATATGGTGATTTATATAATCATCATAATTATACAAATTAGTCTCGTATTTGTAATATAATATTCGTGGATATTCAAATGAAACTTGATATAGTAAAATTTGTGTATTTATTTACATTAAATTAGCTACATTTTCCTAATGATTAATTTATCGTTTATATGTTCGAAAATATTCTTAACTATAAATAAATCAACGGGAATATAATATTTCTTTCTATAAATCTTTCTAATGTCTATCGTTTTGAACTCTATCGAAGAAAAGTTAAAGAATAATATCGACGTTGTGAAATCGACCGAGTGTTAAGTGGCAACAATTTACGGACTCCATTTTGAAATTACCTTGACTTAGAATCCTCCTAATATTAACCTGCAAATTAGAAAGAACATATGCTAATGTTTGCAAGTAACAAAACTATGAAAAAATATATGCATACTTTATTAGAAATAAAAGTAATGTCAAAATAATGAAAACAAAAAAAGAAAAGGGTAATGAAATTTCAAATTTTTCTCGCATAATGGATCGCCATTTGTCCATCAAATTTCAAACGTAACAATTTAATATATATAACTAATATTTATGAATGTTATTAATATAATACAAGTTCTTTCAGTAATATATACACGATTTTTATTGAGTTTTCTCTTTAAATAATAATATATATTTTATATGCAGGTGTGTATGGTGGTATGATTTATTAATAATAAACGAAAGCAGCATATCTCTCGTGAAATATGTATGATGACATGGCGGAATCAATAGACTCTATATTGCGAAGTAATCCACACACACACAGAGTAGTAATATATATATAGTATATATATAGTATATATACACAGAGTAGTATATATATATATATAAATATACTTATATTCACCTTCATTTAATTTTCTGCTACGTGGAAAACAACTACTACTTTAACAAAAATGATAAGTTATATATATGTCACTATCGACCTGTTTTTATAGAATGAAAAGCATATATATATATAACAATTGTTGGAATCTGAATCAATGTTACATCCTATTACATTTTAACACGTATTACACTGATGCACGTTCTTCTTCTACTTCATTTCCTGGCTATGATTACATACGTGTTTACTAGGATTCGATCGCGAATGAAAATGGCGACGTTAAACGAAAATCAAGGAATCCTGAACAAAGTAGCCGAAAATTGAATTCTTATTTACTATCTTTGCATGTGCGTAGGAAGCTACTTAAGGGTTGCGGTCAGATACACCATAAATGCATTAGGTTAATCCACTTAGATGGGAATCTTATATAAAACATCGTATAATCGGCTTTATAACAGGGCTGCCTTCGATAATGTGCAGCTAGCAAATGAAAACTACGTTTGAAATATGGAACGCTCGATTTATAATACACCTATATCTCAATGCTACGTTTTTAATTAATCTTTATAAAACATTGTATACATATATATATATGTAATGAAATGTTATAGATTATTTAATGAAAGTCCGTTGTTTCAACTTTTCCCATTTCAATAAAAAGTTAGTTATTCTTTTTTTTTTTTTTTTTTTTTTTTTTTTTTATCATTACATTAAATTCAACCAAATCTTTTTATTATTTATATATTCGAAATCGATTTGTAGCTTTAACGAATATATTTTTAATTATTTTT